CTACGCTATCCGATTCATTCAATCGTAAGATTCTGCCGACGACCAAACCGTGCTTAACTGATCATAACGATGGGCAGCAGTCGTTTGCGCACACCTATCATAATGTACAATCACAACCTAACATTACCATAAATTACCGAACTTGGCCTCCTCCAAGGTACAGATGGATGCGCAGTAGTATACTGCGCAAACCTAATCTGACAAACCTAACCTAACCATACTTAACCCAACATCAGGGATCCAAGGGCCAGCCATCTGGTTTACAGGTGGGTGCGCAATAGTTCATTGCGCACACCTAAGAGTGACGTCATTTACGAAGCTGTTATTTAATGGAACGTAATATAGGACTGTCGTAACGTTGAATATAAGTCGAAATATGACGTTATGTATAAAATTGAGCGTCTTAACTGTTTTTCCACCCATAATATAAATTTATGTTGTATATTCCGAGGTTATATTGGTACGTGATAGCTTAGATTGTGTCGAGAACACCTCTTCCACCTCAAGAGTTTGCAAATCCCCCACGGTAATATAAATGATTACTGAATATCACATATTATGGCATTATGCTGCCTTCCAATGGTATAACTTTATGACGAAAAATCTTTGATGTCACTGAAATCGTTCCCTAGTTTCTCGGTTATGGATACGCGACCAATTGAGTGAGTTGTGGGCATTTGTTTCTCCCGAATTTCCTTTCGTGGATAGGAAGTAGAATAATATTATACACGTAAAAGGGAAAAAAATAGGGTGAAAAATTACTGTCCTGTAATCCGACTGATATTCGAATGTTTCTGTTTCAGTCATGTTAAGAGGTTGGCCGCCCTGTCAGTTTGACCTAAATATCCGGTGTGCACCATCAAGGTTGGTTTCTTTCCTGGTATGAAGAGGTATTTTTAAATAATAAGAGGGTGTTATGCGTAGGTTTACATACATATATGTACATATTGTGATTAATTAACTGCCAGAAAGTATATGTTAAGAGATTCAGTGAGATAGTGCAAATGGTAGGTGTTAATGTGTGTATTATCCTGGACCTAGTAGTGGCCAGTGCACGAAATTTTACAAACATGTGTTTCCTCTGTTCCACAACGAAATCGAAGTTTTTCCCTCTGCACCATGACACTGAAGTATGTGTGAAGGAAGAATACATGATAAAATTGATTTAACCAAATAAGTGAAAATTAGAATAGTGGGTGTGTAGTGAGGCAACGTTTCTTTAAGGTTATTCTTGCACTATTAATAATGTCGAGTGAATAATGTGGAGTGGTTTGGAAGAAATGTGTTTTAGTGGTTATATATATAGAGAGTGAAATATATTTAATGAGGGCACATTTGTTATGACAGAAAAAAGGGTGTAGTTTTGGTATGTAGCCTCTGAAAATTAAAGGTGTGTGTAGGTTATTAGTCAGAATGTTATGTTTTTTGTGTTATTATAAGAACCTATAAGAAAAGGGCGCAAAGTGAAATTCTAGTTCTCATTGAAGAAGTTATTATTTTCAATTATGTGTGAGTTCTGTGTGAATGAGAGGTGTGTATAGTATGTGTTGTTTTGATTACAGTGTTGTCAAGTGTAAAATGAAGTTTAAATTTTCTAGTGTGACATTGTTTATTTGTGTGAAATATATACAGTGATGTGTAGTGAGTTATTGTAGTGATTTGAAGAATGTTAAGATTTCCATTCAGACACATTGGATTCAAATTTTCCCCTTTCATGTACATATCTTGTTTGTATGAAAAATTCTTGCTTATAACAAGGTGGTATTATAAGTGAAGCACATGATGTCGTTGATGTTATGCTGGCAATTGTGTTAAATGACAGTGTGAAATGTGCACAGTCGTTTGTAGATTAAGTGTTATAGCTTGAAGAATGATGGCAAGTGATTTCAAAGTTAGATCTATATTTCGGTGTGATAGACAAAGGATTGCATTCTTGTCATCTAATCTTCCAGTCTTACATGTGCTAGCAGGTAGTATAGGGGATCAGGGAGTTGTTCTTTGCTTCTATTAAACTTCTTTGAGAATAACATAGTTTATAGGATTACACGAGATGTTAAAGCTGACAGCATTGTAATGTTATTTTATAGTTAGGCTAGAACACATATAATGATGTGTTCTTTTATTATTTATGTTGAATGATATATTGTTAGGTTGAGATCGTAATCAGTGATTTCCCTATCGACTATTTGTGCACTAGTATTGTGGGGAGGATACCTTTCATATAAAGTATATGTATGTCCATGATATATGTCGAAAACCATAATGAAGTTAATAATGGGAACTTTGGAAAAGCGAAAATTTGCGGAACTTGTGGAAATTGTAAAAGTAAATCGAGATAATTGTGATATCATGCACTTGAGAGCGTTTTGAAAAATCGGTATTTCGGAAAGGTGCATTTAAATCTACTATAAATGTGGTAGTATATTCCAGGTTTCATAGAATTTGTAAAGAGTTTTTTCAGAAAAATATATGCAAGAGTTTGTGACGTCAGAAATTTCGGGAATAAAATATCCCGCATTAATATATAATGATTTACTACGCTATCCGATTCATTCAATCGTAAGATACTGCCGACGACCAAACCGTGCTTAACTGTTCATAACGATGGGCAGCAGTCGTTTGCGCACACCTATCATAATGTACAATCACAACCTAACATTAGCATAAATTACCGAACTTGGCCTCCTCCAAGGTACAGATGGATGCGCAGTAGTATACTGCGCATACCTAATCAGACGAACCTAATCTAACCTAACTTAACCTAACATCAGGGATCCAAGGGCCAGCCATCTGGTTTACAGGTGGGTGCGCAGTAGTTCATTGCGCACACCTAAGAGTGAAGTCATTTGCGAAGCTGTTATTTAGTGGAACGTAATATAGGACTGAAACTGCCTTCTAAAAGAAGCTATCGAAGGAAAGATAGATGGGCGGATGGAAGTGACAAGAAGACGAGGAAGAAGACGTAAGAAGATGCTGGATGACCTTGGGGACAGAAGAGGATACTGTCATTTGAAGGAGAAAGCTCTAGATCGCATTAAGTGGAGGAATTGTTTTGAAAGAGACTGTGGACCT